TCCCTTTTCCCACATTCTCACCAGCACCTGCTGTGTGTTGATTTATTAATGATAGCCATTCCGACAGGTGTGAGGTGATACTTCATTGTGGTTTTAATTTGCATCTCTCTGATGGCTAGTGATATTAGATATTTTTTCATTTGTATATGGGCCTCTGTTTGTACTGCTTGGAGAAGGGTCTGTTCAGGTCCTTTGTCCATTTTTAAATTGGATTGTCTTCCTGGTGTTGAGTCATATGAGTACTTTATGTATTTTGGAGATTAAACCATTGTCCAGTGTATCATGGCAAACATGTCCTTCCATACAGTTGGTTCTCTTTTCATTTTAATGATGGTTTCATGAGCCATACAAAAGGTTTTTAATTTGATGTAGTCCCATTTTTTTGCAGGTACAAGTCCAGTTCTCCTAACACAATTTATTGGACACTCTCTTTACTCCATTGTATGCTTATGCCCCCTTTGTCAAATAGTCATTGACCATAAAGGCATGGGTTTATTTCCAGGCTCTTTATTCTGTTCCATTGACTATGTGTCTGTTCTTATGCCAGTACCAATGACTTGTAGTATACTTTAATATAAGGTATAGTAATCCTTCCAACTTTGTTCTTAAGATTGCTGAGGCTATTTGGGGTCTTTTTTGTTTACAAATAAAATTTTGGAGTATCTGTTCTAGATCTGAGAAATATGCCATTGGTATTTTGATATATGACTTCACTCATGTGAAATCTAATGAACAAATTGAACTGAAAAGCAAAATAGAGACAGACTCAGTGATTAGGATGACAGCTAAAGAGGGGTCTAAGGGGTGGAGAGATTGAATAAAAAAGGGAAAAGGACTCATGGACATGGAGAAGTGTGATTGCTGGGGGAGGGGAGAGTGGAGTATAAGGAGACTAAATGGTAATGGAATAAAGAATGTGTGTTGAATTTTTGTCAAATGAAAAAAAAGTCTATTTTGGCTTATTAAAAGACTACTATCAGGGAGAAAATGACTAAGTACTCCCAACCGCAGATATATTATCTTAAAAAGTAGGTATAGAGCACTTAAAAAGCTCTTTTAAAATTAAGCCTTATCACTTATATTGATGGTAGGTGATTACAAGATGACAGATTTTAGGCTTCAGGGAATCATTTTCTTCTCAGTCTGTTTGCCTGACTGAGACACCATATACATGGGATTCTCTTGCAGAGAATTCATTCATTACAATGAGAAGGTATTTTTGTGTTGGAAACTAACCCCTAGAATGCTCAAACATGATGTGTATATCCTGTTTTTAATTTATGGGGAAAATGAAATGGTTAAAACTGTAAATTAGTGTCATATACTTTTCAGGGTTGGACTCATACTTAGCTGCTTCTGTGGATTGATGCTCCAGCTATTGTTAACATAGAACATTTTGTGTAATATTGATGTAATCTGACAGCCAGGGAGGGTGGACTGGAACATGTGTGTGAATAATGACAACTTCACTGTTAGTCAGTGGGGGCAGCATATGCTGCTAATAAGCATGTGTACTGTATGGTCATCACATTCAAAATGACTAAGAAGAGCAATGAATCTGCATCCAATTTTGTGTTAACCTTGAACATTTCTCCACAGAAACTATCTGGACTATTCAGACTTTCGGGGATAATGCAGTGAGTGCAGAGCAACTAAAAATGTGGCACAAATACTCCAAAGATGGTCAAGAATCTGTTGAAAGTGATCCACATTCTGGAAGGCCTGCCTGCAACAAACAGAACACCGGAGAATGTTCAATGTGTACAGGCTGCAATCAACAAAGGCTGTCGACTGACAGTGTGAGAACTAGAAGCTGATTGGAGGATTCCAAAAAACTACCGAGATTTTGATGCAGAATCTTGGCATGAAGTATGTCTAGGCAAAACTCATTCTGCAGCTTCTGCTACCAGAGAAGAAACATCCTGCTGCAGCTGCTAGTGACTTGATTCAAACCACTACCAATGAACCAGATTTCCTCAGGATGATAACTTTGAAGGGAACTGAGGTATCATTGTTCTGTGTACAATGTTTTATTGTGTCTTCTTCAATAAATGTCCATTTTTCATATTACATGGCTAAATACATTCTGGACAGCCTTTGTACACCAAATCTCTCTTCCCCAGCTTAACATTTAAAATTTTATTGTTGTGCCTGCATTTGGAGCAATCAGAAAGCTACTTGGATTTTTTTTTAAAGATTTTATTTATCTTTAGAGGAAAAGAGAAGGAGAGAGGGAGAGAAATATCAATGTATGGTTGCTTTTTGTGCATCGCCTGCTGGGAACTGGCCTGCAACCCAGGCATGTGCCCTGACTGGGAATCGAATCACGATTGTCTGGTTCGCAGGCCTGTGCTCAATCCATGAGCTACACCAGCCAGGGCTGCTACTTGGATTTTTAAAAAGCAACGTCTGTGGAATGGAAATTTTAACAGGAGATGAGTGAGAGGGAATGCTGAACTTTCTTGTGGAGGGCAGACCTGGGGGCAAATGGCAGTGCCAGCACAGGTTCTGAGTCCCTGGAGGTGGGAGAAAGGAAGTACTAGGAAGTAGGTAAAAGTATAGGAAAAATGAGAAGTCAGAAATTTTCTTTCTCAAGGAAAGTTTACCTAAGATTCATCCTTATACATTCTATGTATAAAGAAAGCAAGATATTTAATGAACTACACAAAATCAAGTCACTAGAATAAAACTTCTAATTTTATTCTTTAATCTACTGGTATTTACCTTCTTGAATATGGGTCCTCAAATCTTCTGTTGGGAAAATTATTGTAAGAACATCTGCAAGAGTGGATACTTTCACATTATCCAAATGAGGCAGCAAATAATGGATGTGTATGAATATAATAAACATCATCTCAAAAAGAATGATACAACTTTTATTTTCCATGGGTTTTAAAGGTACTTTCTGCTACATAGTTTATATATTTTTATGAGATATTTTAAATATGTATGAAGTTCAACCTTATACAATTTTAAGATGATATGTTTGGTAGTGTATCTATAATCTTTAGAGTTTTTGGAATGTACAGTATATGAGGTAAAATCAAGATTACATTAAAAATGGTTTCTTCTGCACTAATTTTGCAGTGAGGCTCAAATGGCAAGTACACTATTAAGTGACATTTACTATCAAAAATAGGAGTTCATTTGCATTACTATGAAAAACATAAGCCACTGTTAACTGCCACAGTGGCACATTTTACCATTTTAGACATTCAACTATTATAGAAATCTCTGGGCTATTACACTCAAACTCATTTGTACTGCCAAATGTGGCACCTTGAAGAAGTTTCTAGAAAACAATCACAATCATTTGTTTTTGGGGAAGTTATCAGCCTATATGTAAGAGATTAAATTTAAATAAAATGTAAACATACAGTATATTATAGTGACAGATCATTTTTACCACCTAGAAAGGCCAAGTTTATCCATTTCTCTTTTGAACAAAGGTTAATGTTTTTTTCTACAGCATGGATCATCTGACATAAAACAATTACAACACATGCCCATTCTAATATAAGATAAATTCTTCAGAAATCTTCAAAGTACAAAACATATGTCCTTTATCAAAGACTGACACAATTGCTTAGTAATCACTAAAATGCTAACTTCAGCAACTAAAAATTAGTGATTCACTATCCTAAAATTTAAATAATAAATTAAAAAGGCTAGTTACAAGTGTTTTACAGGAAACAGATATGCTAAAACAAGAATTTCAGAAAGTTTCATTACAAATTGTATTATTACTGGCAGTCATTGACATCTGTACAAGATGTACAATGTGATACTTGACAAAATAGAATCTGATCATCCAAGAACTCACAAATGTAAGCTCACAAAACAATGAATTCTGCTATTGCAAAGTGCTCTAATGCAACATTAACCACATGCTATCAACAATTTGGAAGCATCCAAATAGACATTACATGAAACATTAGTTTTTTAAGAAAGAAAGCAGCTTGAAGTTTATTGGTGCAAATTAATTTTGTCTTTAAATCTGGTGTACCAAACAAAAAGGTTAGAATTTTTTATGAATTCTGATGGTGATGGCAGTAGTTATGGGGGAAGCAGCATGACTTATGAAAGTTCTTCAAAATTAGTGGATACCAGATAGATGAGTGTGTGTGTGTGTGTGTGTGTGTGTGTATTTCTACACTTGGTATGTATAGTTTATATAAGCCACATATGTACATGTATGTTCTTATACATATACATATAGTTCAAAGATTCACAAAGCTAAATTAAATAGGATTGAAATTCAGTTATGATTACTTTAAAAAACTATCTAAAAGCTCTCTGTTTTTTACCATGTCCTCAAAACCCGAAGAGGTGCCTTTTGAATAAACATTAAATTATTTTAGGCCAAATAAACTTGTCTGTGCTTTCTTTAAGTGACTTATCTGTGAATTCATGAATATACATAGTGTAATAAAGAATTCCACATTCATCAGACAAGAAGCTTTTTTTCCCCAGGCATATTCTTTCATCCAGTTTTTGTTTTCTAATCTCCTCCAGTTATTCATCATAATCCCACTTACCAAACAATTAAGACAAATGAGGAGGTAGAAATATAGCACTAGATTGCTTTCACAGCATCAGACTTTAACATTTTTATATAGCTATTAGTGTAAATTTTAATCATTTTAAATCATTTACTAGGTGATACTCTTTAAAACAGATCAGGATGTCAGTGTTACACTCATGCTGACTGGTCAAAATATCAATTATATATTCTTGCCTCTTAGAAAGTCTGTTTGACAAGAAGGCATGTCAAAAATAAAAAAAAGATAAGGGGAAAAAAGGTAAGAAAAAGCCCAAAGGAAAAAACCCAAAACCGTTATTTCTGTGGCTTGAATTCTAATAAAGTGCCTCTACCTACCAATATAAGCACTAAAAATGGCAAAATGATGTAAGTATAGTCTCAATGCCAGTGCTAAATGCCACCGTTTTTGTAAAAGCAATACAGAAATAATTTTAGTACATGACAAAATAAAATGTAATACAGTATTAAAAATAAAGTTATATTTTCACTTGATTACAAAGTACTGAATGATAAAAGCAATCAAAATGGAAAAGAAAGCAAATAGCACAAGGATGACGGCTGCACATTGCTCATCAGTAAGTGCTCGCCGGGTCCTTGTGCTTTCCACAGTGTCTCTGTTGGTGCTGGCTGGTGGTTCAGTCCTCTGAGAGATGAAGAAAACTGTTGTGCTGTAGGGACCTACTAGGTCCTGATGCCCCACAGAGTCTTGGCACTGTCGGATGGCACATACGCGGAAACGATATTCACAGTTCAGCTGAAGGCTTGAATACCGGAATGAAGAGTCGGGACCCTTGTAAATCTGTGCATAAGATATTAGTGAACGAATTATGTGAGGAGGCTGGGCAGAAAATCTGTGTTAAAATTGGCTAGTTTTAGAATTACCTTGTGACATGGAAGCTCGTGAGTGCCTTTTATCTTTTAAGTAGTATTTAAAAATACTTATCCAGAACTTAAATCTATCTGCTGTATAAGGCAAGAGATATTGAAAAGTTACAATGTAAGTTCTACCCTCACAGAGCTGGTAGACCAGGTAAGAAGTGAGGATGTGTTCTCGAAGTAGCTAGAAAACAAGCAAAATCAGTCCACGGGCATTTCCCTGGTTTCCTCAAATGTATGAGGAAAACTTTTGTGAAATCATTCCATGAAAGGAGGAAGGGTGGCTAATCTTGCTCCCCCATTACATCTTTACATAACTGGTTTCTGGATAATTTCAAATATATCTGTTGACTGAAAAAATGAATGAATGAATAGGGAGATTTCTATAGCTGTCGATGGAAAATCATTTAATAAGCTTTAAAGAAGAGAGATCACTTAGAATCACAGAACTGAATCTTAAAACCCTAGTTTTCTGCCTATCCCTTAGAAGGAAGTAATTAAGAATGGAATTCCATGGATTTTCAGAGAATATATGTATCAGAACTTGCTGGGTCCAAGCTGTGCTGTACCACTATGCACTCCGTGTGTTCTTGAATGGTAATTATGATAATGAAATAAATTGCTACTTGTTAAAGCACTTAGTACAGTGCCCAGCATATAGTGAGTGCTCAATATATGAAGCTATAATTTTTCAGTTAATGAGTCCCTCCTGCAATTCTGTATGTGGGAAAACCAAGGCTCACAGTGATATTCCAATTGAGTTCTCCTCGCCAGTTGGCAGGCTGCAAGTCAAATTAACCAAAATCTGGGCTAGCATTCTTTCAATTTTAGCTGCCTCAATTGTATCTATGTTGTGAATCTAAATCTTTTACATACTGGTTTGCTACAGAACACTTACAAGTGTATGTAAGATAAAGTTCTGAGGAAATTAGTATTTGAAATATTCCAATGTGCTTACAATCTAAAGTACTTGAAAATGATGATATGATTTAGGTTTCCTAAATCTTTTTAGTTATCATAATTAGCATTGCTTTTTCATGTACTGATGTATTAAAATTCATATACTACTGAAATGTGGGGTCCCTATTTCCTTTAAACATGTAATAGGATTTCTTTAATATTAATTTTGCTTCCTCCTTGGAAGGAAACCTGCTTATCTGTAAATTATATTTAAATTTAATTATCATGTCAGTTTGCAATGGCTTAATAAAGAAAAACAATCACATGCCAAATTTAGTATGGGCCTGTCATAATTTCAGTTACAAAATTACACTTCCACACTTAACAAAATTCAAAATAAAAATATACCTATACTGGAAAATATTCTGTTATTAATAGTTATAATGGAAGACCCAAATAAAGATGAATGACTGGTTTTCTATTGGGAAGAAAAATGTAAGATGAGATACTATAGTCAAAAAGCCCAGCTTAAAAGTGCTCAAAATCAAGGTTGAGAACAAAAACAGAAAATAAGATGAAGTATATAAATTATTAGGCTTTTGAGTCATATAAAAAAGTTCTTTGTCTTTAAAATTTCTTGGCCAGGATGTTGATATTTCTGGCCTTCCACAGTGTCTGTTGTTGCATTCACAACACAGCATTATGACTATTACTATTAATGTAGAAGCCTCCTTAATAGTCTCTCTGCTCTGCCCTTGTCTCACTCTAGCCAAAATGACTTTGCATCTGAGCATGTGACAAGTCTGGTCAAAATCCTCTACCGGCTTCTCATTTTACATGGAGTACAAGTTGACATTATGGCCTATAATGCCTTACCATGATATCCACACCACTCAATAGAGCCCCACTCCTACCCTTCTTCCCTTTTCTCACACTGACCCAGTCATACTGGTCTCCTTGTTGTTTACTAAATTTAACAATCATACTCCTGCCTCGTGGCCTTTGCACTTGTTTTTTCCTCTTCTTGGAACATTCTTCACCTCATAGTTACTTTGTTCAGGTCTCTGTTCAAATGTCACCTGATTTCCTATATAAAATAACACTAGTAATCCCTTTCCTTAGTACTCCCTATTCCTTAGTACTCCCTATTCCTTTTACCCAGTTTTATTTTTTCTTCACTGCAATTATCACTATCTAACATTCAATATACTGATGTGTTTTGTTGCTTTTTAGAATCTCTTTTTCTACTAGAATGTAAGCTCCATGGAGGCAAAAACTTTTTATTCATGTACCTGAGTGCTTGGTACAGAGTTTAAGAAATACTTATTAAATGAAAGAACAAATTGTTCAAATATAGTTCATATCCAAAAGATTTTGAATCCTGAGGTACTGAGTAGTTACTAATCTTTGGAACACTGAACAAATCGTTTTTCAATTACAACTGACATATAATATTGTATTAGTTTCAGGCATACAACATAGTGATTAAATATTTATGTAACTTGTGAAGTGATCATCTTGATAAGTCTAGTGCCCATCTGATACCACACATAGTTAATACAATATTATTGACTATATTCCCTATGATGTTTTACCCATCCTCTATTTGTATAACTACTAATTTGTACTTTCTAATCCCTTTACCTTTTCCACTCCCAACCCACAATCTTGTGACTATCAATTTGTTCTATCCATAAGATGAACAAATGTTTTCGAATGAGGAAGATAAAAATAGTCAAATCTGGCATTTAAAAATTTATAGAAATGAGAAAGGAAAAATATACATATCTACAGAATTGTACCTTGGCACATACCTGTTTGAATTCAGAATCTTTTCCCACTATAACCTGAAGACTGTAAATGACTGGATCACCTTTCATTGGCTGTAAACACTCCCATGTAATCTCACAAACGTGATCATTTACTTTCTCTATTTTGGGGGCTATAGAGAACAAAGAAGTAAGTAAAATCTGCTCTACCTCATTTTTATAAAATTTGAAACATTACACATACACTTGTTTTAATCAGTATCACCAAAACTTTAAAACTCAATTATTAAGAAATAAATATCAGTGAATTAAAAAATCTGCAGAGAGATGGTCAATAGTTCACTCTTATTATCCCCAGGCCATACAATTTACAGATGCTACAGTGGCTAGAATGACTAAAAGATCTGTCAAGATAATAAGCACTTTTTTATTGAGCTAAGAAGCCAATAGAGAGATATATGACAGTTCAAAAAACAACTATGATGGTATTTTTAAGAACTTTAAGTAGAGCATGGAATTTATAATTTAATCTTCTAAGAGGATGAGTTGAAAAATACCCCTAGTCCTTTCACCATATATGACTATCTCCATCAACATTACTAGAAACACTATTCAAGAACAGTCCTGTTAACTATGAATTTCCTTAACAAATGGTATATTCAAACATGATCCAGAACACTGTATTAAAAGTATTTGTGATTTGTCCTCACAGTGTGAGGAATTTTAGTGTTTTTGGATAAATGCACAAAATACAATCTTGCTGCATTCACTTTAAATAAGAACCCCTCTGAAATTAATTTTAAAGATATTTGTGTATACAAATGTGTATGTGTTTGTGTGTATAAATTTACTTTAAAAATTCAAGTCAACTAAGAATTCATGTTTTGCTTAACAGACAACCTGGCTCTCTCCCAGAAATCCAAATGAATGAAGTAACAATGAAAGAAAAACAAACCAGAATTTGTGATTTTTTTCTTTAAATAACAGTAGCAGAAACAGCTAATAACCCTATGAGAAAACCAGTCTATCTATTCAATTTAGTTATTTTGTTAGATTATTAAAAAGGTCAGTGACAAAAACCAGTACTTGTCTGAGTATCAATGAGTCAGATAAAATAACTTTTATTATTGAGTGAAACTCTAAGCAGTTTGTCTATCAAATTTCCTTCTTATAATTTACTTGTTGGACATATATGCTGGATGATAAATTTTAATAACAATACATAAAGCACCATGAAAATGCATTTAAAAGTAATTTGTTATTAAAGAAAATAACTTGAGTATGTGTAACCTACCTTTCAAGGCAGCTGGGACAGATTTTGGAGTAGTGAAAATATATTCTTGGGAGAGAGGACCTTCCCCTGCTTCATTACAAGCTTGAATACAGAATTTATAGGATGTTGACTCATTAAGTCTTTGTACTTTGTATGTATGACACGGACCTCTGTACAAGGATATAAACCTAAGATGGAAATGGTTCATTAAAAATAATCCTTGACTACCTTATCTTTAAAATCTACTAAAAAGTACATTTGGGACATTATTTAGGAATAATTTACTCCTAGAATTTAATGTCAGGATTGGTTTGTCACTCCAAACAAACAAACAAACAAACAAACAAATGTGTTTTATATCACATGATGAAAATCACAGAACTGGTAAATTTCTTAATCTGACATGGTTTTCTGAAAAATTATTGCTAAATTTCATATCCAACCATGTTAACAATTTCTTTTCAGGCTTCCAATTGCTATGTTTTAATGTATACATTTTTAAATACAATGAGAACACCACAATTTTCATTATAAATTATTTCTAACTGGAGAAATAGGCATACAATTTGTCACATAAAAAAGATAACTTCGATTCCCAGGCAGAATTTTAGCTGATCTCATGATGTTTTCTAGAGATTTACATAGCAGTATGACAGAATATATTATTTCCCATATATTATTCATGTGAACTGTTTGATGGGAAATTTAATATTATATATGTTACCTATAACTTGAATGTTCAATATTTTTGATTGGCTGTCTTTAAAATTTTTGGATGTTGGGGAATGAACAATGAATGCTCATATAGTTCTAACAGTCTGAAAACTGTAGTCAGGTTAAAAGTGAAATATTTAATGATCTGAAGTAACTAATTTCCAAGAAGCAATAATTGAATAAGCCTTGCCTTTTTAATCGTATGTATGCACATGGGTGCATATTTAAAGACAGCAAGGAGAAAAAAAAAACCAGTTTTAAAACCACTGTTGAAAAAAGTGAAACAATGACACAGCCTGTGGTCAGGAAATAACTAAATACCATTCTGACATTATCCCACAGGAAGTATAAATAGGCCAGTAACTACAGATATTAAACTAATTTATTAAATTTATATAGTGTATTCATAATACCATAAAACTTTAAATTTATTTCCCATAGCCAAGGGCACTAATCATACCCTATAACAATCCTCTGGTGCTAGCTAAATATTAATTGTTAAGTTCTATAATAGAACACAGACTATTGTACAACCTATCTTTAACAGAATTTTTATTATTTTTCAAATACTTATTAGACATGTTTCCAGTAAACCTTCTTACACTGCCCCTAATGTAAATGCTAGAAAGGGGATGAAAATATTTAAAAAATTAATTCATCTAACAATAACAATATATATTGCCAAAGATAAACAGCTATACCAAAACTCTGTGGTAAAACAAAGTCCTTCTAGAGATAAGGCTACAAAGAGTACATAAAATTCTGCCAAGAATGGAAGTTACATTTACAGAGGCATAAATTTCAGGAAATGATCAATACCATTTGCTCTGTGTAATGTCTTACCTGGTGATAAAATATGTTTAATTCCATACATTTTCTAAATGTGTAAGTATTTCTCATAGAGGTTACTTATATTATGAATAAAGTTTCCAACATTGAGTATGTGACTAAGATACAAACCCAACAACAAAAACAAAGTAGCCTTGGGAAAAACTGTACAAGAGTAACAGCTGTGTAGGGTATATGGCATTAGTTGTATGGGATATACTGTCAACTAACAGCCCTAGATTGGCATTTGAATAACGCATACTACAAATATTTTGAATAACATTATAATTCAAATGCATGATTTACTGGGGTAATTTACAGCATGAATATAATGAAAATAGAAACCATGGTGGCATAGATAAGAACCTGAATAACAAAAGAACCACACAATTAATCACACAGTTTGACTGAGATCTGACAGTGAGGAACTGAACTGTATTCATTTAGTGTACAGGCTCTGTGATAGGGGTGTGGAGGAGAGTGAGACATAATCCCTGACCTCAGGAATCTCAGAGGCCTTAGTCAATCAATCATTTACTGTAAAATTGCCTTTTGCTGGAAATAAGAATTCAAGAATTAGCAGAGATTGTCTTTTACTAATATACAGAGAGTAAATGAGTTAAAGCAGCCATTTTCAATGGGTGTGCCACAAGGATTTTTAAAACACGCAATACCTGTCAAATGAAAATGTGTCGAGAGCCAACACAACAGCTCTCCAGTGTGAACAGGTCACAATTAAACCTTTTGTGTGCGCGTGTGCACACGTGCTGCAGAACTTTACTAATTAGTTTATGTGTGTCATGACATGAAAAAGGTTGAAAATCACTGGGTTACCAATGTGAGCCAAAGAACAGACCCCTTAATTTCCTCTCTCTTGGCATCCCACTCACAAGTTAAAACCAGAAAATCTTCACTATGTTGTACAGTACTTCAAATACACCACACTTAAAAATCCTCATGCAAATTCTATTTTTGAAAATGTATTTATTTCTATTTATTTAAAAATTTATATAATTAAGTCCGAAAAACTACAAAGAAGCACTTAAAAACACCTACCTTCCATTCTTATCCACCATCTGAAGGTGGTACTGAACAGAATCTGTTGACAGTATTTTGGGGGTTCCTTCTCCCCATTTCAGCTTAAGGTACTGGTGGCTGAAGGCAACACATTCCAGACGAGGTGGATCGGGAGGGAGGGGCTTAGTTTTTAATTTTATCATGTGGCTGAAAGGACCAGCTCCAAGGCTGTTCAAGGCTTGAATTCGTATTCTAAATGCCACATAAAAGAAAAAAGAGTTTAGCTTATGAATATTCTATTAAAATGTCTCTTTGGTCTAGGCAAAAATTAGCATAATTTTATAGTGTACCTGTATGTTGTATCTGGTTGCAAACTGTCTATAATATAGCTTGTAACCTTTCCTACAATCAAAGGCTGTTTATCTCCAAAGTCTATGCTGTAGGCAAGGATTTCTGAACCATGGTCACAAGGCTTTTCCCAGCTTATTGCAAGGCAGGTAGAAGGTGAATAATTGGGATTTTCTATATCATCATCACTTATTTCTTGAAGACAAGTCACAACAGCAGGAACTGATGGTGGAGTCACATAGGCTACTACATCGCTGAAAGGGCCTGCACCCACAATACTCAGAGCCTACAAATTAACAGAGCCCATAATTAACAAAGACATGATATGAAAATGCTCACAAAACCCTGGACAGAGTTAAGTGCCAAGACTCAGGTTGCCTTTACCTGGACTCTGCAATAATAGGTCATTGCTGGTGAAAGTCCTTTCAATTCATAACTCAGACCAGGCCCACAGTAACATATCTGCATACTTCCTTCAACTCCTCCCCACTCCAATCGATACTCAGTGACATCAGTTCCATTACTCGAAGGGATCTTTTAGTTAAGAAAAAGATAAAGGTATTATGTTTTGACATTGATTAAATAGCTTTTGGGCAAAAATACTCTTTAAAATGTTTAAGTAGAATTAAGACTACTCAATATTGTATTTTTACTTATTAAGACCACCTGAATTGAAGATTGGTCAAAAAATATAACTTTCTTTTCAATCAGAATTAGAAATATCACTGAATCACTTTAGAAAGAGTAAATATATTTAAGGTAAATATAAACATATATTTAAGGTAAATATATTTCTAAATAATTAGAATTTATTAGAAATAAATAATTTATTAGAAATAATTAGAAATATATTTCTAAATAATTCAGAGATAGTAAATACTATAAAATAATAAATCATACAATGATATTTTTCTTTGTTAAATTTCAAAGGAAACTGAAAATGTTACTTATCATCACTGATTATCACTATAAACAATAAAGACACTGGAGATAATAATTATGATAAATAGTGTTATACTAATTCCTATGAATGTTTGTTCTGAACATTAAGCTGGCTACTGGTTAAATATCTCAGTTTTGAGACAAAGCCTTTGAGATAAAATGCAAAGTACATCATGAACAAGAACCTAAATATTCACAATGCAAACATACCTTACTTAAATGCTTCAAAGAGAAAAAGCAGTTTACTTTCTGCTATGTAAATTTAATGAGACTTACACTTTGTATAACTTGAGAGGATGTGAACTACTAGAGCATATGAACAGTTTATTATTTTATATAAACCTTAAATTTCCTAAGAAGTAAACATAAGTCAATGGAAATGACAATACCTCCCAATTTATTTGTGCACAAGTTGCAGATCTGCATGTTACTTGAGGGGGCTTGCATTGATCTGGTGGTCCAGGGGCTGTAGTAATATCACATTTTTCTGAAAATGGTCCAAACTAGAAAAACAAATACAACTAGCGTTTTCATTTTTCACATACTGATGATTTAGCTCTCCGTAAAAATTCACGAACAGTTAAACATAATTCCTCTCCTTCAAGACTAATTGGTCATAATATAATTCTAAAAGCATTCACAGGAAGTAAAATGATTTAATGATCATGGACATGAGTATATAGGGTATTTTTAAGTTTCTTTACTGTGCTTTCTTCTCCTTTCCCTTATTCCTTCATGAACTGTTTTTTGTAATAAAGGTAGGGTATAAGGGAACTAGGTAGGTAGAATCAGTCAGAAGTAGTTATGTGAGTGAAATAGATAGTGATTAAAAGCATGAGAGATAGTAGGTATAAATTCTATCTTCAAATTTACGGTAACTTTAGAAGGGTCTAAAAGATATATTCTTGGGAAATACAGAAAGCAAGCACTTACTTGAGATGATTTAGACAAATTATTATAAACTTGAAAATATAGATTAAAGATACTAGCATTAAAGATGTTATCCCAATACACTGCCGCCTTATGGGGCTGACAAGATGATGACTTATGTAAGAGCTGCCAACAAAGTAATTTATAAACTTAACATATAAGAAATTGAAAAGTAAGATTACAGATAGAAATATTGAATTCAACTGGAGAATGTAAAATATAGTATATAGTTCATTGAAACCCTAAATAATGTTTTTAAAAAAAGCTTAATTTAATTTCGTGGAATTTTAATTATATAATAGTTCAAAGAAACAGTGATACTCAACTGAGGTAAGAAATTACTGTTTTTAAAAAAATTATTTAATTATTGTTCAAGTACAGTTTTCTGTTTTTCACTCCCATCCCAGCCCGCCCCCCCCCAGTGCTCCCCACCTCCCTCTCATTTCCACCCCCTTTAGTTGTTGTCCATGTGTCCTTTATACTAGGTTCCTGTAAATCCTTTCCCTTTCTTCTCTGAAATCCGCTCCCCTCTCCCCTCTGGTCACTGTCACCCTGTTCTCTATTTCAGTGTCTTTGTTTTTATTTTGCTTGCTTGTTTGTTTCCTTGTCTAGCTTCCTGTTAAAGGTGAGATTATATGGTATTTGTCTTTCAACACCTGGCTTACTTCACTCAGCATAATACTTTCCAGTTCGATCCATGCTGTTGCAAAGGGTAGTAGCTCCTTCTGTCTTTCTGCTGCATAGAATTCCATTGTGTATATGTACCATAATTTTTTGATCCATTCATTTACTGATGGGCACCTAGGTTGCTTCCAGCTCTTGGCTATGGTAAATTGTGCTGCTATGAACATTGGAGTGCATAGGTTCTTTTGGATTGGTGTTTTAGGGTTCTTAGGATATAATCTCAGCAGTGGAATTGCTGGATCAAAAGGCAGGTCCATTTTTAGTTTTTTTTTTTTTAGAAAATTCCATACTGTTTTCCACAATGGTGGTACCAGTCTACAATCCCACCAACAATGGATTAGGGTCCCCTCTTCTCCACAACCTCTCCACCACTTGTTTGTTTGTTGCTTTGTTTATGATGGCCATTCTGATTGGTGTAAAGTGTTATCTCATTGTGGTTTTAATTTGCATCTCTCTGATAGCTAGCGATATTGAGCATCTTTTCATGTGTCCCTGGATCTTCTGTATACTCTCCTTGGAGAAATGTCTGTTCAAGTCATTTGCCCACTTTTTAATTGGGTTGCTTGTCTTCTTAGAGTGGAGTTGTGTTAAGTTCTTTGTATATTTTGGAGATTAAACCCTTGTCTGTGGAATCATTGGCAAATGTTTTCCCATACAACTGGATCTCTTTTTATTTTAATACTGTTTTCTTTAGCGATGCAAAAGCTTTTAATTTTGATGAGATCCCATTTGTTTATTCTTTCCTTTATGTCCCTTGCTCTGGGGGACATATCAGTAAAGAAGTTGCTGCGTGAAATATCTGAGATTTTCTTGCCAATGTTCTCCTCTAGGACTTTAATGGTGTCATGGCTTATATTTAAGTCTTTTATCCACCTTGAATTTATTTTGGTATATGGTATAAGTTGGTGCTCAAGTTTCATTTTTTTGCACAGAGCTGTTCCAGTTCTCCCAACACCATTAGAGAACCTGCTTTAATGCAGGGAGACAAGAGGTTGTCATAGTTGGGTGGAAAGGACTTTAGCTCTGGAGTCTGACAAACCTAAGGCCTATCTCTATAACTTTTTAGTTTGCATGACTATGGGCAAGATATTTAGTTTCTCTGAGCCCTAACAGCTTCAGCTGTAAAATGGAGATATTATCCATTTTGTCCATTTTATGGAGTTGTACAGATATATATTTATTTATCCTCACCTGTGCACATTTTTTCATTTCTTCTAGAGAGAGAAAGGAGGAGAGAAAAACAGCGACTTGAGAAACATCAATTGGCTGCTTCATGTCTGCATCTGGATGGGGATTGAACCCATAACATAGGCAAGCATGTGCCCTCACTAGGAACTGAACCCACAACCATTCACTTACAGAACAATGCTCCAAACAACTGAGCTGCACAGACCTGGGCTAAATATTTAGAAAATATTTTTTTAAAATCCACACAAAACCAGAAAAGTTTAAAATGTAAATTCTTCCTCAGGCAAAAAAAATGAATGTCACAATTAGTTGCCAATGGAAAGTAAATGCTGCATACGCCAACATCAAAACACAAATTTATCGGACTTCCGCCAAGATGGAGGCATAGGTGGATGTGCCGTGCCTTCTCACACAACCAAGATTAGAGAAAACTAAATATTAGCAACAGAAAACACAGCCAGAACACGGAAAATTGAACTTTTCGGAAGTCCGTTAACAACAAATTCTTCAGCCTGACCGGTAAGGGGTGAAACCAGCGGCTGGAGAAGCGAGGTTGCACAGGAGGACTCGGTCAGACAGACTCAGGCCTGCGGAATCCAGGCGCAGGGTCAGACCTAGTGAGCAACCGAGCGAGCGATCAGGCGAGCGACTGAGGGGGAGACAGCGGGGCAGCGGGGCTGCGTGTTGACTGAGGTCGCGCATTTGTGCGCGGGTGGACAGGCCAGGGAGTGGGCGGTTGGACCGGGCTGGCAGGTCCCCACGGCAAGCGGCAGTGGAGGGCGCCGCCATTTCCCTGCTCTGACCCCACCTCCACATACAGCGTCATAACCCAGCGACTCTTGAGTGGCCGGGCCCAGGTGAACCACCTAAGGCACTGCTCCTCCGCACCCAGCTGTGAGAAGCGGCAGAGGGGGTCGCCATTTCCCTGCTCTGACCACGCCCCCACATAGAGCGTCACAACCCAGCGACCTGGGAATCCAAGGCGCTGCTTCTCACACTTAAAGGGCCCGAACAGACCAAGAATGGTGCAGGAGGATCTCAGAGCCCCAGAGCCAATAGATCTAAGCGATGAAGAAATAGCAAAACTCTCAGACGCACAGTTTAAAACATTGGTGATCAGGATCCTCACAGAACTGGCTGATTATACCGACAAATTAGACAAATATAGAAGGCGAAACTAATTGAAATGAATGGAATTGCACAGGACACCAATAGCAATGAAAAGGAAACTGGGACTCAAATCAATGGAGTGGACCAGAAGAAAGCAAATAATGGCCAAACAGAAAAGAGTCAAGCAAGAATTCAAAGAAATGAGGAGAGTCTTAGGAACCTCCAGGACATCTTTAAACGCTCCAACATCCGAATTACAGGGGTACCAGAAGGGGGAAAGGCACAGCCACCAGTGGAAAACTTATTTGAACAAATAATAAAGGAGAATTTCCCCAACCTGGCAAAGGAAATAGACTTCCAGGAAATCCAGGAAGCTCAGAGAGTCCCAAAGAAGTTGGACCCAAGAAGGAACACACCAAGGCACATCATCATTACATTAGCCAAAATTAAAATGAAGGAGAGAATCCTAGAAGCAGCAAGAGCTAAGGGGACAGTCACCTATAAAGGAGTCCGCATCAGACTGTCAGCGGATTTCTCAAAAGAGACCATACAGGCAAGAAGGGGCTGGAAAGAGGTATTCCAAGTCATGAAATCTAAAGACCTACAACCAAGATTGCTCTATCCAGCAAAACTTTCATTTAGAATGGAAGGACAGATAAAGTGCTTCTCAGATAAGATGAACTTCAAGGAGTTCATCATCACCAAGCCCTTATTATATGAAATGTTAAAGGGACTTATCGAAGAAAAAGAAGTTAAAGAAACATGAACAGTGAAAGGACAACAAACTCACAGTTATTAACAACCACACCTAAAACGAAAGCAAACTAAAAGGACAGCTAGATCAGGAGTGGAAACATAGAAATGAAGATCTCAAGGAGGGTTAGCAACAGGGGGAGTGGGAGGAGGAGAAGGGGGGAGAAGGTACAGAAAATAAGTAGCATAGACAGTAGATAGAAAATAGATGGGGGGGCAAGAATAGCATGGGAAATATAGAATCTAAAGAACTTAAGACACATGGACATAAACTAAAGGGGGGGTAATGGTGGGGACGGGGGGGTAGGGTGGAGGGGAATGAAGGGGGGGAAATAGAACAACTGTAACAGCATAATCAATAAAAAAATTAAAAAAAACAAAAAAACACAAATTTATCATCTTATGATCTAGTTTCATTTCTAAAGATTTTTCTAAATTTATTTATCTTTAGAGGGGAAGGGAAGGAGAGAGGGAGAGAAACATCAATGTATGGTTGCCTTTCGTGCATCCCCTGCTGGGAACTGGCCTGCAGGGAATCGGCCTGCAACCCAGGCATGTGCCCTGACTAGGAATCGAACCGCCATTATCTGGTTCGCAGGCCCGCGCTCAATCCACTGAGCTACACCAGCCAGGGCTAGTTTCATTTCTTAAATATACTGCTAAGTATATTTAAGTACTTAAATATACACTACTTAGATATACTAAGTAAAGCCTATTAGCACCATCTGAAAGGTCAATTCTAGCCCAGCTCAAGTTTAAAGTGTCACAAATTTTAAGAGGGATTTGAAAATACAGATGTTCTATAACAATTAAGTTATGATATATATTGACCTCTCTCTTATTTATCAATATAGGCTTAAAACTGCAAATTATAAAATATGAAGTCACAAATAAGACATGTAGTTACATATATTACATGAAACACCACTGTGACTATAATTCAATCATCCAGGTCTTCCTACCCCCATTTTATTAGCTGCATGCAGTCTGAAGCTGTAAGTCTTTCCAGGAAGAAGGTTGCTCACTATACATTCTACTTCAGAACCTTGGTAAACTTCTCTGGGTTCATCTTTTTCTACCGGAGACATTTCCACACCATAGCAGGAAACGGGAGCTCCACCATCAACCAGAGGGGGTCCTAAAGGTGGAAAAAGATTTATGCAACTTAACAAGAGGAATTTATTTAGTGCTAACTTAATAATAACTTATTACCAAAATGGAAATTACCCCATCGTAATTGTATTTCTTTTGCTTTGGGTCTACCCTGTAATCTGGGAGGGAGGCATGGGCCAGGAGGTACAGCTGGAGTCTGCACAAGTAAAGTTTCAGATACCTGCCAAAACAAAAGCAAAAACAAACCAAAAATGTCCCAAGCTAAATAATCAGACTAATTTTTAATAAAGAAAAATAACATGAACCAAAAAGATTGTACCAAATTTGAAACTGCACTTGACTATCAACTGAAAATAACGTTCTGAGTAAAATCAAAACCCAATTAAGTCATTAAAACTCAAATTTTATATAGACAAATAAAATAAAGACACCATAAATACTATTTACAAAGTAAGTTACCAAACGAAATCAATAAAAACTCTTCCTTTTCTTATTTCCATAAATAAAAAACAGAAAGCCCTATTCCAACACAACCTAGTGGGCATTACTTTTGACCATATCCAAATGGATCCACAAATCTCTTCTAAGTAAGGATATTTTAATATTCTGTGAATGCTATCTGCCATATTTTCAGGAGGTTTAGACTATTTTGGCAACTTTACTGTATACCGCATTTCTAACCTAAACACTGATTTACTTATTAAAAAGGTTCTTTTCTTCTTTCCATCTAAAAATGATTTAAAAATCAGGTAAGTTTGTCCAAGTATTTGTTATTATTCCAGGTGTTTAGTATTACTTTTAGCTTCTATACTAATTTTAAATCTTTAAACTAATTTAAAAGACATATCCTTAAAAATATTGACACAAACCCAGTGCCATATTCCTTGTCTGCGATGTATTAAGGTTTACATTTAACTTTCTTTCCAAACATAAATACAATATTCAGTTATCGCCTTATTCTGAAAGGTGTCCTATATAAGAATGCTATAATGCTGTATTAGAAAAATGTTTGTGGGGGCAGGACAGGTTAGCTTTTTTAAAAAATCCAGAAAGAGTTTCTGATTAGATAAAATGAAACAATTGAATCCCAAGCTTGTTGGGCAGGCCTTGCATCCAGTTTTACAGTACTTGTATTTTCAACAAAAAGCTTATAACTCATTTTTAAAAAGTACTTTTACTGTATTAAATTCCACTTGAAAAATAGTAATTATGAATGCTCTAAGAAAACATTTTAGTTAAATTCATTTAAAAAATCACTCCCATTAAAAAACATATTCCTCCAGAACATTATGTGTATTTCACATATAATCAGTGGCACATTTTAAGTTCACTTTGGTTATTTAGTCTCTAAGAATAAAAATAATTACTAACTTTTCTGAAATAATATTAGAATCTGTGTTTAAATACTAAATGATTATTTTATAGTTTCTACTGATACATATAATTTATAGAACAGTAAATCAGTTTATAGTTATTTTATTTCTATTTACTAGGTATAGTTATTGGGCAAATTCCTAAAATTTATCTTTATAAAATTGCCTGCAATGTTTTCATATATTTGTTTTTTCAAAGCTAAACAAGCAGAAAATAGATGTTCATTAATATGGACTATGGGTTAAATACTATTATTAGAATATTTGGGTCACTATGAAATAAACCACCTGGGTCACACAAATTACTTTTATACATATGTAAATACATTTTAATATTTGAAGTGGCATCTGGTCATCTCATTTGAACAAACTTAAAAAAAACCTCTCTGTAAGTATTACCGCACTCTGTCCTCCATCACTGATGCAGTAAACCCGTAAGCGATAGAAACAGCCTGGACTCAGTCGATCACAAAGATGTTCCCTAGTAGCTCCACTGTATATCATATCCCATTTGTTACCTGGTAAGGTAAAGAATTATGTTCAATCAGCTCAAAGATAATGTTTAACATTTTTGTATCAGGGACCCAGCATGTGTCCTAGTTTCACTAATTAGTGTTTATGTAATTTGTCAGAATCAATTTAAGTTTGTTCAGAGTTTCCTGGAAATGATCTAATTTTCTTTGTGTAGCTTCCTAGACAAATTTTGCATGGCTCTGTTGAAAGGAAATATCTCTGTAACTCTGTATGGACTTTGGCTTAGATTGATAATTTGCTTTTAATTAAGCATTTAAAATGTGTTTACTGGTCCAGTAATAACATTATAACACACAAAGAATAGAAAAAATCAATACCACAGGAAATTTAGTCTTAACTAAAAGACATCCTTATGTCTCGCAGGCAATAGGTCATTTCATAAAAATAAAGATTATTAAATGTGTCATTCAAGAACAAAGTTCACTAGGCATACCACTTATTATTAAAACTACTAAAATGTAAGTTAAATAAATTTTATAAGATACATCTCTGATACATCTGAGTATAAGTCTAACTGAATAAACTAACTTCAGAAGACTTGAGTGATATTGGACCTGAGCAATGTAATAAAATGTAAATGTAATAATACAGGTACACAGCAGTCTTACATTTGATTTGCTATGTTTCTGGAGATTACAACTTAAAGTGGGTCATAATAGGCAAAATCCTAATTCCTATGAACAAAAGAAAAAAATAAGCAGAAAGAAAAGAGATCATGTAAGTTGTTAAGTCATGAAGAGTAGAGGCAGACTGGTAAAAATTATTATTTTTTAATAGTTATTATTACCATTAGAACCTTCTGCCATCTCCACTACGTATTTACTGATGGCTGCCCCTCCATTGTCTTTTGGTGGGTCTATCCAAAGAAACAAAAGTGGTATTAGGCAAAGTACATGTCCTTTAAAATGACAGAAAATCCTAATAAACACAGTATCAAATCTAGGATTATTTAGAAAGAAAAAAAGAATCACCTGCAATGCTTTATCAAAGACTGATGATTTATTTGTTTATTATTTATTTATTCATTTGTTTGTTTATTGAGAGAGGGGAAAGGAGGGAGAAAGGGAGAGAAACATCAACTTGCGGTTGCCTCTCACATGTCCCCTACTTGGGGGGGGGGGGTACCTGGCCCACAACCCAGGCAAGTGCCCTGACTAGGAATTGAACTAGTGACACTTTGGTTCACAGGCCAGCACTCAATCCACTGAGCCATATCAACCAGGGCAGCTTTTTAAAAATCAGTATCATCATCTCATTACTCTATGGCTTTTGCGTTAAGTAGTATATAAGCAGGTGCTCAATAAATGTGTTTTAATGAGTAAGTGATTTTCATTTCTCATGAGGGACAGGATGACCTAGATAACATTAACTACAAGTTCAGTATCTTTTATTTCACACAGTGCTGTCCCTGCTAATAGTCCTGCTAATAGTGGATTCCAAGATCTTCTCTATCAAATCTGAGCCTAGTATGAGTATACCACTGTCTGAAAAAAAATCCACAAACAAGGAGTCTCACATTTCCTATTAAACTTGCTCAAGGTAACATTTACTTAAATATCTTAAATATTAGCTTAATAATAAAATCACTTTAAACAAATATAAAAGTAATGATGTACAAATATGCCTAACATCTTACCCCAAGTTATTTTAAAACTGTGTGAATGTATCTTTCCTTTAACTGAAGGCTTTACAGGTACTCCTGGTTTATCAGGGCATGTAGTGAATTCTACTATTTCACTTGGATTACTTTTACCTTCTGAGTTGTAAGCAATAACCTGTGATGAGAAAATAAAAACATAAAATAATTAATGTTTGATACCTAATGATATTGGCTTAATGAATAAAGGGATGACAGATAAATCAAATGATAAAGTTTTCACATTGTAGTGACACTTATTTATGTAAGAACTGTCATTGAAGGGACTCAGTACATATGAAGAGCATTCAGTCCTGAGAATACAAGCATAAATTTAACAATTGTGATACTAAGTAAGAGCCATCAGACAAACAAACTATAATCTGATAATATTTGATGGGCTTTAGGTTTATTTTACTTATTCTTTCAGTGTTCCTCAGGGGTTTAATAAGATATCCACAAATTCTTTGAGTATCTTTTTTTTCAAAAGACAAAGGCTCATTCATTCCTCTTCCATTCCAAATGTACTTAATTGCTTACTTCTAACAAACCCAATGTAGCAAATATGGTGGTGTGAGTAGCTTCCCTATGGAGAAGCTTATGCAGTGAAGAACTGGGAGGAACTGAGGGATCCTAGCAACAACTACCTGAATGAACTTCAAAGCCATTTTTTCCAACCCCACTTAGCCTTCAGATGATTGCAGCCCCAGCTGACATCTCAACAACCTCAGAGAAATCCTGCATCAGAAACCCCCAGCCAAGCCATTCCTGAATTCCCAACTCACAGAAACTGTGAGGAAAAAGATGTTCGTTGTTTTAAGCTACCATGTTGTGCAGCAACAAATAAATATAATTTATATCTAGGTATTACTGTATTTGACTTTAGCAATTTAATTATATTTATATTTTAAATTATCTCCTCTAAAGAACTTAAAGCTCCTCAAGTCCAGTGTCAAACCTGACACCATTTTCACTTCTCCAAATCAGCTCCATCTCTTTTCTTCCCTATTGGGAAAAAGCACTACCATCTATCTAACTTGCTCAAGTCAAACATCTAGGAGAATCCTCAATTTTCCAGGACTCTAAACCTACATATCAAAATCTACAGCAGTTCCCCTCTCCCCATCTGTGGTTACACTTTCTGCAGTTTCAGTGATCTGTGGTCAACCGCAGACTGAAAATATTAAATGGAAATTTCCAGAAATAAACAGTTCTTAAGTTTTAAATTGTGCTATTCTGATTAGCACGATGAAAGCTTGTGCTGTCCCACTCCAGCCTGCCGAGGACATGAATCATCCCTTTGTCCAGTGCAGTTACAATGTATATAATGCCCACCTCTTGAGTCACTTAGTAGTCCTCTTGGTTATATGAGAAATAGAGAGGGGAGAGAGAAAGAAAGAAGGAGATGGAGAGGGGGAGAGAGAGATTTCACTTAGCCATAAAGGTATAAAGCCATAAGGCTATTTCTTCCCATCCCAATTTTACAAATAAACAAAACAATCATTTAGTGCCCACTGCAGAGGAAACATGGTGCTAGAAATTTCTAGGTGCAGGTGCACTCTTTACCTTCATTAGACTCTTTATGCAGAAGACAGGCAATATGCATATCAAAAGAATTAGGTAAAAGAGGAAAAGATGACTATGACTTAAAATGATTCAGAGAAGCTTTGAAAAGGGAAATGAAGTAACATGGGGTCTTCATGGGCAACAGAAGTGAAAGGGAAGCTTGGGTAAGAAAGAGAACAGGAAGCCCCAAGTGTAAGAGCAAAAATGAACAGTGAAATAGAAAGCTCTGCTCAGGAAAGGAATAATTATCAATCTCATGAGGTGGCCTGTTCATGGAAGGAGTGAAAGGCAGTACATTAAAATAAAACTAAATTGGTAAGAATAAAAAGAATATGCCAAACTAAGGAAACTGTTTTTCAGAGGGAAAGCTGTTTCAGAAAGGTTAATCTAGGTATAAAACAGAAATTAAATTAGAAGGCAAGAGAATAGTCTGAATGAAAGCAATACAGAACAGATTTGGAGATTTAGTATTTCAGGACAGAAATGACAGTAGAGGAGAAAGGAAGGCAGACAAGATGAAAAAAAGGAAAGGAACATGACTATGTGCTGTCATAGATGCTGACGTGTCAGTGAATTTCAAGAATGGAAGATAAGAGAAGTTAATGGATCCAAAGACCATTTTGATTTCTCTCCACTGATGAAAAGGCTTCAAAAAACAGGTAATAAATTGAAGTAAACATACCTAAGGCAGGGGTGTCAAAACTCATTTTCACCAGGGGCCATATGAGCCTCACCGTTGTCTTCAAAGAGCTGAACATAATTTTAAAACTGTATAAATGTAACTTGCTCCTTAACAGTTAAGCCAGAGCTCAGTGCCACTGCCAGGTAGAAATAAGGTGCGGTCTGGATAAAACAAGGGGGAGGGCTGGATTCAGCCCCATGGGCCTGGTGTTTGCCACCTGTGACCTAAGGGCTCTCAGCCCTTATACTGTGAAGAAACTTTGTTAATTGAAAAATGATTTTTCATGAATTTCAGGTAAGAAGGCATCAGCTTTCCAGTGGCTCAGAATCAATCACAGGGACTGTCCACTAGCCTCTGAAGCCTTTCTGCCTCTCTTTCCTTTCCTTCTCCTCTTGCCACCCCCCCACCACTTTTTTTTCTTTTTTAAATTTGGACACCAGGTCTTGGCCCAGCTTCCAAGTGAACAATCTCATGTAATCAGCACTGTTAGCTTAATTTTACATGATTTCAAGAAATGACTACTTTTTTATGTTTAAAATTTTCATTTTTACTTATCCTGTAAATCCTTTAATCGTTCCAATGTTGTTTTAGTATTTTGAGTATCCCAGGATTGCCCTTCGTATTGAATCTAGAACTCTGGCATTTGGAAAACTTTGTCATATTATAATTTTATTTTATGTAATTCATATCCTTATTGTTTCTTTAAAAACAATAACATACTACTTAGTAATTACTTCCTAAATTATAGTATTTTTATTGCTTTGTTTAGTACTGTAAGATTTCTTCAGAGTGTTCAAGATTTTATTTTAATAATGTTTCCTTGAAAGGGGAGTCTGCAATATCAAGCTGGAAAAGGAAGACACACATAGCAATGATTTAATGATTTAAAACTCTCTTGGTACCCTAAACATAGTAGATTCAAAATAAATGTCTGGGTTTCCAAAAACCTTTATGTAGTTATCATTTTCTCTCTCCTAGTATATTTTTTCTACTATAGAACAGTGGTTCTCAAATTTCAGTAAGCATAAGAGTCATTTGGAGGGCTTGCTGAAATACAGATTGCTAGGCTTTACCCTTAAGAGTTTCTGATCGCAAAAATGTGTGGGTGGGGCCAGTGAATTAACATCTCTAACAATTCCCAGGTGATGTCGATAGAGTGGTCTGATGATCACACTGAACTACTATTCTAGATCTCAGAGAAACAGTTTTAAATATAAATGGGTGATTTGTTTATAGTAGATCAGTAAGGAATCTAACTCCTATTTGTGTGTATATATTTTTGTTCCTATGTGACAGTAATACCATAAGTTAAATGGTAGTAGAATTCTAAGAATTTTAATAAACTTACTAAATTATGAAAACACTAACAACTTCCTTTTAGAAGACCTGTTGATATGATAACTATTACTGAAGCAAAAACACAATCCAACATCATCATATGAGGAAAAGTGGAATAAATGTATACACTTCTCAGGTATTTTATAACTCCTATAAATGTGAAAGCTACTTAGAAATTAAAATGACACAGTGTTATCAAAACTTTTTAAAAAGAAGTTAATACATAAAGCAAAGTATAATATATATGCATTGCATAATCAAATTTCCCATTATATTAACATTTTCTTTCTAAGGTTAAAGAGTAATAAATTTATCTTAGTTCTTTAAAAATTAAAAAAAATTACGGTGGCTTCTATCATTTATTTGAAATAATCTGATTAAACAAACACTGTAGGAAAATTTACATGCTGAGTTTATCAACTGATGGGCATCTTGTTAAATTTTTGGGAAGACTTCTGCACAAAAAAGTAGGCTGGCTTATATTAACTGGTATGTTAATTAATTCAAGCACTATCTGACCAAAAATAGCAATGTATATTATGGACCAAGTCAGAGCTGAAATATATCCTAAATGGGATGCCATACTAGGAAAGAGAGAGAATTTCAGGAGTTTCCATAGCAGAAGAATTTCCAAGTGAGCAAGAATAGTATGTAGGGTTCCATGCCTCAAGCAAGAAAGAATAACATGCATTCTTCTTTATCTTTCTCCCAAAATAATTCAGTCCAAAATACAACAGATGGACTTTAAACAAGGCAAGCATTTGTGCTTGGGGGTAGGGGGGCAAGGGTGGGTTGGGTGGAGGCAGAAGAATTTGCCTAGTATGAACTTAAGCACCCTGAATAGGGAAGGGTATTTAGGGAAAGGGGAGGAGTTTGATCCAAGTAAATATACTGAACGTAACTGGGGCAATTTTTCTCACTGATAATGAAGGGAGTCAGAAATAAGGGAGAAAACTACAATTAATCTGTGACATTGGTTTAAAACTGGAGCTATTTGGTAGGAACTCATGATTAAAAAATGTGTATATATATATATATATATATATATATATATATATATATATACACACAGATGTAAATGTGTGTGTGCACATAAATTATATACACACACAAAAACACAGTTCCTAGGCTTTCTAGGAACCCAGAGAGATGGGTTCTGTTCAATCGGACAGTACCCAGAAGTAGCAAAACCCTTAGAGCAACAAGTATACTGCCAGATCTAGGCTTCTAAATACCATTGTCTATTAAAAGGACCCAGGTACCTTGAGAAATAGTCAATTCTAAAGTTAAAGAAAGGAAAGTATGAGACTGGAAGAAAGGGCTCAAAGAATAATGGCAGGGGGCGGGGGCATGTCAAAAGGACTCAAAAGCCAGACTGAAGGGGCTCCCAAAGCTAAGAAAACTTGAGCCTCACTTCATAACTGATAACACCACATAATAATATAAATAGAAGAGAGAGCTTTTTCTTACAGTGTCAACCAATAAATGTAGAAGGAATGATAAAAATTTTTAAAAATCACCAGCTGGCATTGATTAATCACAGTAATGATTCAGGCAGGAATTATCAATGGGTACTTAAGTTTGATGATTAACAAGATGTTTATATAATATTTACAAAATAGTGACTATAAAGGAAAAAAAGAACAGCTTTACATTTGGAGAAACATGGTAGATAATCACCTTCATCAAGTGACTACCAGTAGTGGGACAAACTGAAATTGTGCAGCACTGGATAAGATAACACTGAGGAAAAAAAGAGCATTACTTCTGATATCCCTGCCAAAAAACATATTCTGAGTATGTTTAACAACATGTATAGTTTAGAAGGTATTTGCTCACATTATACAAACAAGAATCCCATAAAACATTATAACTGTTGTGAATTTAAATACAGTAGTCCCCCCTTATGTGGGGCATAAGTTCCAAGACCACCAGTACATGCCTGAAACTGCAGATAGTACTGAATCCTACATTCACTACGTTCTTTCTATACATACCTACCCATGATAAAGTTTAATTGAAAAATTAGTCACACTAAGCAAGTAACAACAATAACTAATAATAAAATAAAACAAGTGTAACAATATGCTGTAGTTAAAGTATGAACGTGGTCACTCATTTCAGGGGATCCCTTGCTCAAGTCTACCTACAGGCTCAATACTTTGTGGCACATGTTGCCAATAGCCGGAACATGTTTTCTGTTTATGTCTTCCACAAATTTAATGCCTTTTCCATTGTAACTAAGCATTTATCACACACTGTGGCCATAAACTTTTTCAGTTTGAGGTGTGACGGTAAAACAAGCATGAATTTCTTTATCCTTCTTCACAATTTTATGGATAGAAGATTTGTTCTTACTGTAGAAGTTAGAAGCCAATTTTTTCCCTTAGTAAGTAGAGAACTTTCACCTTTTCACTTAAGAGAAGCACTTCATGGCTTTGTTTTGGAATATCCAAATTGCATGCCTTACCATTCTTGTGCTTTGGGACCCTAACTACATAAAATAAAGGTTGCTTGAAACATAAGCACTGTGATACTTGACAGTTAATCTGATAAGGGAAATGGCTAGTAACTGATGAAAGGGGCAGGTAATACATAGAGTGTAGGTACAATGGACAAAGGGATGATTCATGTCCAGGGCTTTAAGGAACAGGAAGGTGTGAGATTTCATCATGCTACTCAGAATAGCATGATGCTCAGAATAGTGAGCCACTTAAAGTTTATGAGTTATTTACTTCTGGAACTTTCTATTTAATATTTTCAGACCTTCACTGACCATCAATAACTGAAACTGTGAAAGTGAAACCATAGATATGGGGGACCAGGTTAGGTATATGAATTGTGAGAAGCACTGTTATGCAGTAAGAAAGTAAAACAAAACTCATTAGAAAAGGCCAAAATTATTTAAGATTGTAAATAAAGGGAGTGAAGTATATACTTAGTTTTAAAACAACAGGAATAGTAACAAACATCTTTTAAGGGTTTTCAAAGCCTACCTTAAATTTATACTTTGTACTACGTCTGAGATTTTTCACTGTGTAAGCAAGATCTTCTCCATCATATTTAGGCTTAAAACCATATCCCTGGAAAGGGAAAACAAATCTTCATTAGATGTCTAACAGTAGAAATGTGGGGAATAATGAATATGTGCAAAAACCCAGATGTTCTTCACCTTTTACTATGTGTTATGTGATTAATGCTCTGTTGAGTGTAATCCTCAATGTTGCTGCTTCTAACATGAGTGAATAGATACAGAAATGATGCTAACACATGTAGAAGGATGAAGGAAGCCATGTATTCTCAGTAAAAACAGTAACCAACAGGAGGTTTTTGTATTGAGGGAAGAGTCAGAGCCAATGATAACTTTACCATCAGTAAAGATATTCCTACGATCCCTAGAATTAACAGACAGATGTTATAAGAGCTGAACACAACTACAGCTAATATATTTAAGTTGCCCTGATCAATTAGTTAAATAAATGAATGGCTGGTTATGCTGGCAGACAGGAATATCACTTAGGTTTGAGACTGCTATTTATAGCCCAGTGACAATGCCTCATTATTTTCCATAAGCTATTTTTTAAGTTTTGAAGAATTGGCAAATGACATTCCATTGTATAGCTATATCACATTTTGTTTATCCATTCAGCAGCTGATGGACATCTGGGTTGTTTCCACTTTGACTATTATGAATGACACTGTTATGAACATCTATTTGTATAGAAAATTTTGTATGAATATGTGTATTTAATTCTCCTGGATTGAATATCTAGCAGTAAACCAATGCTATTTTTCATTTATAGTGTTTCAAAGTAGCTCTAAAAAGCTATGGAACTATACAGAACTAATATAAGACACCCTAACTCTTGTTCAGCTCAATTCTAGCTCACAGAAATGAGCCACTAGTAACCAGATGTAGGCTGTACTACAGAATACCCTGTGAGGCTCTTCAAATCTTCTGTGGCACCTGGGAAAGCAATATATGAACACAGTTGGAGAAGGCAGATACATTAATTCCTTAACTTTACAGTAGTTTAGTTTAGAAGGCTGAGGTGATATTCCCCTCTATTTTCCCCAAAACATATATATTTCACATACAGTTCATGTTGTTCCCCGGCACAAACATAAATACAAACACATAAAAAGCAAAACTCATTCCAAAACTCATTCACGAAAACCAAAGACTGAGCTCTCCTCACTCCCAACCCCTCCCAAACAATAACCAACCAAGGATTCAAAAAATTTGGGGAAGGATCTAACTATTGTGGCAATATGTACTACATTATAATTAATACTATACAAAAATATGTTTTACATACCCTATTTAAAATATATATTCATACTCACTGAGGTTTCTTCCTCCATCTCTAAAATGTAAGAAATTCCTTCATCTGATGGTGTTCCTGAGGGTTTACTCCATTGTAAAGATAACCAAGTAACCCCAGCCTTAGTCAATACAGGACTTGCTGGCATAGAAGGGGCACAGCCTGAGGTGTAATATAAAACTTCTTCACTAAAACCACTGTTGAAACAAATGTTTTTTAAGAAGAAATGAAAAAAAGTTATTGTTACAGATAAAGAATTTTATTAAATGTTTTTTTAAATGACAATTTTTGATAACTAATTTAAATAATATATCTTCAATTTGGTAATATCTTGATGGTAACCAAGTCAGATACCTAAATGTAAAGTAGCATTCTTTTAACACTTCAGTTTAAGTAACTAACATATTGTCTTACAGCTTTTAACACAACTATATCAACAAAATGAGAACTTCAAGTAGAATTTTAGTAAATAATTTGGACTGTAAATAATTAATACAAATGAAGTTGACAAATAATCTAAAACATCTATATTAGAATCTAAAACATCTATATTAGAATGTACCTTACCTTATACCATACTCATTTTTGGCTGATAGTCTAAATTTACAACCCATCGCTGGTGACAGTTTAGTAATTTTAAATTGCTTCTGTAAGCCCATGTAACACTGACAAAATTCTCCATTTCCCTTTCCCTAGAAGAAATGGCTAATTATTATATATCATATACATTATCGCAAAAATATAGATCCACATATTCCTACTTGATAGATAGTAACATATTACCGGGCAAACCTGAAAAGTTATCTTTGTTATATGCATATCATGGACCTCAAGAGAAAGTTGACATGACACACATCTTTTATATGATATTTACTGTTTGTTAAATTCAGAATTCAAAAATTGGAGAATAGGTATCTTTTACAGTTTCTTGAACTAAGTACCTTGTTTTAGCCAATGCTAAACCTCTGGCTTTAGTAAAAGAAACTCCACAATCTCTATGGGGGTACTGGCAGTCATAAAAACAGAGTGGTCTTTGAATATGCTCAATTGGTGGTGCTCCTCAGCTTATGAAAAGGTCTATGAAAACAATTTTAAGAAAATGTCCTTCTCATCCCCAAACCTCCTAGATACTTAAGCTTCTTTACAATAAAAATTTTGGAGTTACTAGTGCTTAGATTTAACACTTGAAGAGTACAAGCAGAGAGAAAAGCCAAATTATAGACAATAAAATGGGGAAGAAAAAAGTCTGCTGCTTGGGACAACTAAAGAGTTTTTGAAATTTAGGGAGCTACATAAAATGAACTAGTTTCTCATTTTCCACCATATTTGCTCATTGTGTTGGTAGAAGTAAAGGGTGGTTACGCTAACTTCTGTTTCAAGAAAACCTTTAGTCTGTTATCAGGCTGCTTTACTGAATTTTTGTTCATTTTTTAAAAAAATCCTCACTTGAAGATACATTTATTGATTTTAGAGAGAGAAAGGGAAAAGAAGTAGGGAGGGAGAAAGGAGGAGAGGGTGGGGGGGGAGATGGGGAGGAGATACTGATGAGAGACACACATTAATATGAGAGAGAAATATTGATTGGTCACTTCCCGCATGAGCCTGGACCAGGGACTGAACCCACAATCTAAGTATGTGCCCTGACTGGGAATTGAACACACAATTCTTTGGTGCTTGGGATGATGCTCTGAGCTACACTGGCCAGGGCTGAACTCTCTTGTTATTTTTAATAGTGTTTTCAGTTGATTCTACTGAGTAGTCTAAATAGAAAATAGTATCACTTATAAATAATGATACTTTTGGCCCCCAGGCTAGCTATCACGGCTAGACCTCTTGTTTTGCTTCCAAATCATACTGCATTAACTATAATTTCCTGAATAATACTAAATAAAGGTTGGGATAACTGGTAACTTTCACTTGTTTCTGCTTTGCACAGAAAGGCTTTTATTATTTAGTGATGGTACTTTGCTTAATACAAGTAACTATCAGCCCTGGCTAGTGTAGATCAGTGGAGTAGCTCAGTGGATTGAGCACCAGATTGAACCAAAGGGCTGCTGGTTTGATTCCCAGTGAGAGCACATGTTGTAGGCCAGGTCCCCAGTAGGGGGCGTTTGAGAGGCAACCATACACTGATGTTTTTGTCCCTCCCTCCTTTCCCTTATCTAAAAATAAATAAATAAAATCTTTAAAAAGGAAAAAAACACAATCAAATAAGGAATTACCTTTTGATTACTAATTTGCTTTGAATTTTAAGTGGAATGGGCGCTAAACTTTTATTAAATACCATGTCATAATTTATGAAGTTGGTACAGTTTTTCTTCTAAATTACTGTTATATAATAATAGGTTTCCTACCTCTGAATTCTCTTAGAACTTTTGGAATAAAACCCACTTGGTTGGGCCTCATTATTCTTAATATACTGCTGAATTTCCAAATTAACAATGGAATTTCTTCTATTCTCTCTGGCCCCCACTATTAGCTATGGTATAGGCATAAAAAACCCCATAAACGACAGCAAAACAGAATACTAACCAATAAAGCCCAGAATGCTTGCTGTGGTAGGCTGAATAATGGTCCCCAAAGATATCTAGGTCCTAATACCCGGAACCTGTGAATGTTACCTTATATGGTAACAGGGCCTGTTCAGATAGAGAGATTACCCAGTTTTCTGGATGGGCCCTAATTGCAAGTGTCTTTTTAGAGGGAGTCAGAGAAGGACTTGGAAAGGCAAAAGAGGAAAAGGCAATGTGATAATGGCAGTAGGGAGAAAAGGCACCTGATGTGGCCATCAACCAAGTAACAAGACAACCTCCAGAAGCTGGAAAAAGCTAAGCAATGTATTCTCCTCTAGAGTCTCTGGACAAAGCATGGCTATAGTGACATCTTGTTTTTGGTTCAGTGAATGGCACTTTTTAAATTTCTGGCTTCCAGACTATAAGAGAATAAAGTTATGTTGTTTTAAGTCACCAGGTTTGTGGTGATCTATTAGATAGGCATAGTAAAGAGTATGTTGCCTTTAAGGCTGATGTAAAAACTCATTCTTTAGTCAATGAATTAATTACCCAAGTGACAGCTTGATGGTAGTTTAGTTGGGAAGAAACAAAACACACAGGGAAGTCCAGTCAATAATATTTTTTAAGAATAAGATCAATTCACTCATATACCACACAAAGTCACTCACAGTTTTTAAAGAGAAAAAACTATTAAACAAAACCCTCATTTCTGCCTGAGGATATGCATACAATTTTAGCCTAATTTAAAGATTCAATTTACTTACCTCATCCCATTCTAAAATAAAGCTTTGGATTTTAGAACCATTGTCACTAGGTGTCTAAAACAAACAAAAGGAATACAAATTAGTATTTTTTTTGTAAAAGATTCTGGGATGATCTAACCTAAAGAACCTATACTGTTGTAAATGTAGTCTGTGACTTAGCCCTAGAAAAATCTGCACAGAAAAATACAGAAATATATGTATTATATAACACATAACCCTTTTAAATGCAAGAAAAGAACAAAGCCAAGGCATTACTCAGGTATCTATCTTTTTAATTAAGCAAAAACGATCTTAACTTTTATAATCCTTTAAAAAAATCAGTTTGCCTTTTATCAAGTTTTATCACTTTTAGGATGCTAGGATCATGTTTTCATTAAAACTCACTTTACACTTAAAAGTAATATTGTGTAATACACCAAAGAAAAAACTAGGGTGCTAGCCCTGGCTGGTGTGGCTCAGTTGATTGAGCACTGGCCTAGGAACTTATAAGGTCACTGGTTCAACTCCCAATCAGGGCACATGCCTGGGTTAAGGTCACCAGTAGGGGGCATGTGAGAGGCAACCACACATTAAGGTTTCTCTCCTTCCTCCCTTCCTTCTCTTCTCTCTAAAAATAATTTTAAAAATCTTAAAAAAAAAAAAAAGCTAGGGTGCTGCAATGAACTCCAAGAGGGCATGCTGTCTGGACTGCTGCTTTCAGACAGATTCAATGTATCTTAAACTGTTAATTCACGAATCTGTTAATCTTCAGTCTCCCTTGGCATTTTATTCAGTATTTAATGACTCAAGATTTGTAACCTAATTTTGGTCTGAATTTTCTTTCTACAATTTCAACCTATTTGATTGAGAACAAGTGATCATTACTGTCCTGCTAATAATGTCATCTATTTGAACACAACTGATTCTAAAAGTTCTTATCAAAATTAAATAATCTACAGATGATATACCCTGTAATTGTACACTTGAAACATATAATTTTATTAACCAATATCACCCCAATTAATTTAATTAAAAAATAAAGTGACAAAAATTTCCAAGGGGAAAAAACAACCTAATTTTTAAATGGCTCTCCAGAGAACTTCTATACTTTTTGGGACTCTATCCAGTTTTTATATAATATTGCTAACTACTATGTAAACAGTAATCAAGGACTGTGGATTTTCTTTTTAAAAAACTTTATTTATTTTTATAGAGAGGGCAAGAGAGGCAGAGAAACACTGATGTGAGAAACAGACATCAATTGGTTGCCTCTTGTGTACACCTCAACCTGGGACCAACCCCGTTACCCAGTCGTGTGCCTTGACCAGGCATGGAAATGGTGACCTTTCACTTTGCAGGACAATGCCCAACCAACAGAATCAGACTGGTCCAGCCAGGCAAAGATTGCCAAGTTTTAAATAAAATCTTCTATAACATGGAGTTCCAAATTATTAGTTGAACACTAACACAGATCTTACATTTAAACATAATTTTTAACTGGTTAGAATGACCAAAATTTGCTATTAAGTTACAGGAATATTTCACAGGCTGGTACAGCAGTGGCAGACAAAAGTGATTCTACAGAGAAAGGGGTAGAGGAAGAATCCTTGAGAAACTCAAACTCTTACATAGCAGGGGAAGAAAATCCAAAAGTAGAGAAGGTTCCAAGTCTTAGTAGGCAGTGAGTGCTATAAAAACATATATCTTCAGAGTAAATGACTCCAGATTGTTTCAGGCTAGTTGATAAGGTCTCATACTTACTTTTCCTATTTTTTTCCTACTTCTTTGTGAGGCTGTTAAAATGTTTATCCTCAATGATCTGTGTGTGACCTATCTCCAGCTTTTCTCTGAGTCAGGGGGGAAACTATTATGTGTAAAGAGTTTTTATCTTATTTCATTTAATACTCCCATCAATTCATGATCCAACTATATGAAAGAGAAAAGGAGGCTTTAAAGAGCCCAAGTAAGTTGACCCAGACCATAGTCATCAGGAGTGGAGAAGAACTGAATTTGGTCTATGTGACACAAAAACCAGTGTTCCTATCCAGCAGCATTCCAGCGGCTGAGCAATAAGTAGAGAGTAAATGACCAATTTCAGTCAACTTTTTATCATCACCATGCAATAGCAATTTTATACAATGTCAGTTAAGAAAGTATGTCTCTCAATTGCTACTGTATACCACTATTCTCATACCATGTTAACCCTCATAGTCATGCCTTTAGATTATATGAGGCAGCAAGGTCAAAAAAAAATCTGATATTTAAGACACTAAGCTACTTTCCTTCAATTTTAAAATTAAAAAATAGTTATTATGCTTTTTATGTTCCAGGAATTGTGCTATAGGCCATACAGATGTTATCTGATAATCTTTCTAACAACTCTGAGGTACAGTTATGCACTGCTTAAAAACAGGGATGTGTTTTGAAAAATGCATCATTAGGTGATTTTGTTATTGTGCAAACATCTTACAGTGTGCTCACACAAAACTGGATGGGATAGCCTAAGACACACTGAGGCTCAAAGTCTATAGAGGATGTTACTGTATAAAACAATAAGAGATTAAATGAAGCACAAGAAAAAATGATGTAACCAAGAGGTTGTAAACATGAGATCTATGTAGGCTGCTGCTGGAGTGATGGCACACTTTTGTGTTGCAAACTTTTCTTTTTAATAAGTAGAAAGAGTACACTCTAAAATAACAATAGTAAAAAGTATAGCATAGTAAATACCTAAATCAGTAACAGTTGTTCATTATCATTATCAAGTATTACATATGGTACATAATTGTATGTGCTACACTTTTATACGACTGGCAGTGTAGTAAATTTGTTTACACCAGCATCACTAGAAACATGTGGATAATGTACTACACTATGACCTATGACAGCTAAGGCATTATTAGGAGGTTAAGATGTTTTAGCTCCATTATAGTATTATTGGGACCACTGTTGTACATACAGTCAGTCATTGACTGACATTTCCATAGTTGGCATATAACTTTATATATACTATTCCCAGTATTAGTAACAAGAATATCTATCTCGTTTCCCAACCATGCTAATTACTGTATATGTATACAATAAAAAGTATAGCATAGAAGTGTGTAAGCCTGGGCAATCTGTGTGGGCTACTGAGAGGTAGCCCTATCTATCTTCTATAGAAGCCTCTTGAGATATTGTTAATGAAAGAAATTTCAGAAGTCAAAATTCAATTGTGATTATCATCAGCATAAAGAGGAGTACCATAAAAAATCCCAACCAGGGAGATCCAAGATGGCAGAGTTGTCAGTAAAAGCTACACTAACCTCCTCCTAGAACCGACTGGGAATTCCAACTAAATTGTAGAGAAATCATCCTGAATAACCAACTGAATACTAGCTGGAGAGAAGCCATATAACCAAGGATAAACAGAAGAAACAATATTACCACAATGAGAATGGCAGGGAGTGGGGGCAAAGTACAAGAGGGCTAGCTGGGCTCCCATGGGTGATGGCTGAAGTTCTGGAGGGATATATGAGTGGCCAGGGACTTCCCCCATGAGAAGAGTGGGGTCTAAACCCCAAGCTGGACTCCCCAGCCTACAGCGCCAGAGCTGGAAAGGAACCCAGATAACATCCAGCGGTGAAAGGAGCAGGGTTTCTGTCTACCAGGGGGAGATGCTGGATACTCAAGAGAGCCTCTTAAAGGGCCAATGCACAACATTTTTTTTGTAGCCACTTACCCTGGGCTCCAGCCAAGGGAGAGCAGAGTGGACTAGAGATGTCTGAGGTGAATCTGGGGATGGTGGCCCTGGGGAGAGAAGTGAAGGAATAGCTGCCAGGATCCCTGTGCTCAGTTATTCCCCACTCTGCAGAAGCCATTTTTCTCAGGCAGAGCACTTCTCTATTAAGTGGCATCTGCCTGACACCATGTGGAGCTTAACGAATTACAGCTTGAGTGCATTATCATTGATTAGTTTAACAAACTAAGGTGGAGCTCTAGGCTCTACGAGACTTCAGGCAACCCTCCCACAAACCCAGTGCTGATAAAAGCCAACCTTGGTGTGCAGTCTGATTTTTTCTGCACACAACAGGCATAGCAGACTGAGTCACATGCGTAAATCACTGATAGCTCCAAAAAGGTTGACCAGGGCCAGTCATAAGCAGCATCTGACAAAGGCCTACACCAGAATCTTAGCATATCTACCTAAAACACAGAAATGAATACAAAAAGGCAGTCAAAATCGGAAGACAAAGAAACAGAACTCAAATGAAAAAAATGAGAGTTCCCAAGAAGAAATAGATGAAATGTAGGCAAGGAATTTATCAGATAGAAAGTTTAGAGTAATGATTAGAAGGATACACAACAGCATGAAAAAAACACATAGGAACCATGAAAAAGGACCAGTCAGAATTACAGAATGCAAAATCTGAAATAAATAATACCCTGTAAGAAATAAACAGTAGGTTAGATGATGCAGAGTATTGAAACAGTGATTTGGAAAACAAAGTTAAAAAAAAAACACCTAGGAGAGCAGAAAAAAAGAAAAAGGAATTAAATAAAATGAGGACAGTTTAAGAAACATTTTGGACAACAGGAAGTGGAACAATATCCACATCATGGGAATAATAGAAGGAGAAGAGAGCAAGCAAGGGTTCAAGCCTATTTGAAGAAATAATTATCAAAAACACCCCTATTCTGGTGAAAGAAAAAAGTCACACAAGCCCAGGAAGCTCAGAGGATCCCAAATAAGCCTACATGGAGACAAATCATAATTAAAATGACAAGGACCAAAGACAAGGAGAGAATCCTGAAAGTCATAAGAGAAAAGCAGATAGTTACATATAAAGGAGCACCAATTAGACTGTTATATAATTTCTTAACAAAACATTTCCACTAAAGGGAGTGGCACAAAATATTCAAGATGATGAAAACCAAGGACCTACAACCAAGGCTACTTTACCCAGCAAGGTTATAATTTAAAATCAAAGGAGAAATAAGCAGCTTTCCAGACTAGAAAAAGTGAAAGGAGTTTGTTAACATCAAACCAGTACTGCAACAAATATGAAAGGGCTTGCTTTAAAAAGAACAAGATA